CCAAAGTGCTAGGATTACAGGCATGAGCCACCCCACCAATCTTATTATAAAAAAATTATTCAAGCTTCACAAAATAATGTCAGACTGGATTGTGAGATTCTAAAGTATAATTTTTAAAAATCCACAAAATTTAATTTTCTTGCCTTTAAAGCTACAACAGGTCAAATTTGCATTCCTGGCAGAGATAGTATCTTGTTTCTTTTTTTTTTTTCTTAATCTGTGCTATTTAAACTCCTTTCACAATTTTAGTTCATATCAATTCAATTTCATCTCACATTAACATGTTTATTTCTATTCTCATTATCATAAAATATGAATTTCATTTCCTTTGAGGACATAGCTAGGTATTAAGTTGCTTTTAACTGTCCACCTTGCTGTTTCTGTACTCACAAAATAAATATTTATTGTTTATGTTTGTCAAAATTCAATATGGAAAATAAGGCCAGGTACAGTGGCTCACACATATAATCCCAGCACTTTGGGAGGCCAGAGTGGAAGAATTTCTTGAAGCCAGGAGTTTGAGACCAGCCTGGGCAACACAGTGAGCTGCTGGCTCTACAAAAAATTTAAAAATATGGAAAATAAATGGCATATTGTCTTTTTGCATACACACATACCACTTTGGTGTCCATAATATTTCTTTAATTTTTAATTTTTAAAATTAAAAAAAAATTTAACCTTTAATGAGGGTACTTGTTCATTATTCATCCAATTCAGAAATTTAACAGTGTGCAAACATGTGAGGCATTATGATATATTTTCAAACTTTCAAACTTTGAAACAACATGTTAAAATAATGATAATTAAAGTCTATGCTGGATGGACATGCGGATTATGGCTATTTAAGAACCTATGAAAAATATACTAACAACTTCAGAGGAAATTTATTATTGAATTATTTCTAAAAGCAGATGATCACATGTACAAATAAAATACTAGAATTTTCTTAAAATGAAGTATGCTATAATGTAAATTTTTAATAAGACAGGACTATTATAAACCTCCTCAAGAAGGCTTTATTACTAGAACTAGACTAGAAATGGAAACAAAATCATAGAAATCTCCTGTTTGTAGACACATAGGGTTGTTTATTTATATACTTTAATGGATAATTCACCAAGGAATAGAGCTGCTGAAATACCTCCCTTATTCTTTGATTCCTTTATGATGACTTTCACAACCAAGAGTGTCTTGGATAATTATTTTCCCTGTCAGTTGTGTACAAACAAGAGCTACGTTATCATGCAACTCAAGGACTAGGTTTAACATCACTAGGGTACAAGAGTACTGAATGTTGAGTTACAGTAAAATGTCTTTAATTTGAATCTCCGTTTAACAGTTCACTAACTGTTCTTTCAGTGAAGGATCTCTGTGCCTCTCCCATTTGTCTCAGTTTTGAAATAACAAATTATTCTGAAGTAGGATCGACAACATGCCAATCCTAAGGATGCCAGAGTTCAGGTACAACCTGTGGGTGGAAGATTGGCAGATAGAGTACCACTACTAGCATCCACCTGCTAGAGGGGCTTATCTGTTGAAAGTAAAATGAGCTTCTGTAGAAAGAAATAAATACTTCACACTTGTCTTTAAACATGCAGCGTACACCATTGTAAAATTGAAAACTAAATAGAATGGTTATAGTAGCTGTTGCTTCCACCTTAGAAGTGATGACAGTAATGAAAACATCATACCAACGTCTAGTCCAATATAACTCTTGTTTTTCTGTGGTTTGTATGGGAAAAAAAAAAGTAATAATATACAAGAAAGGATGTATCACTTTCGATTAAACATAGGTTTATTTGTAGAGCTAAGGTAGTATTAATAACTTAAAAATGACCTTAAGGAATCCTCAAAAGTTCTACAGTTTATTACTTGTAGCAAACAAAAGTAAATACGCAAAGTTATTATGAACTTCCTTTTAGGCTGAAAAGCTAAGACACTGGATGTATTGTAAAATGGGAAATGGGCTAAGATGATGGTATAAATTTTCAATGGCCTGCCCAAGACATGAGTGCAGGTAGAAAGCCATGCTGAATCATTATCAATTTATTTGGGCAGAAATAACGCCTTGCACCTTAGGTTTATAGCTAACATGACACAGTCAGACAGATCACAGATATCTCCGACATTATTTTAGACAAATATATACTACCTCTACAATGGAGTCTGTGTGAAATAGTGTAAGACTAGAAGACATAGACTTATACTTTTATCTTAAATAGAGATGGTTATTTTAAAGCTGGACCTTTTAGAAAACTGAATATTAACATTGAGTTGATATTAGATTGAAGTCAACCAATCACTCTGTGATATTTCCAAATGTGAAATAAGCAGTTATAACTAAACTTTTGGTAAACAAGCTGCCTCATCACTATAAAAACATTTTTCTTGTTATTAATAGTATTGGTAAGGAAACAGTTGTATGAATAAAATATCCTTTTATGCTAAAATAATGTGTAAAATTACCTACAGAAGCTGCTCTTCCATTACTTTGCCTCCTCCATAAAGAAGTTAGTTTAGAGACCATTAAGTTTGTTCTATCCTTTTCTCTGCCTTCACGAACTTCTGTTAACACACAACCAGCCAGGTGCCTTCTTACTATAAATTAAGGTGTGGTAGGTAGTCTTGGGGCCCAGCTTAGCCAGTTTTCCCTACTGTTAAAATTTGATTCAGGCTTGATGTAGGCTTCATTTCACAGCTGCACTCAATGTTTCACTTACACACATGAATAACTTAATTCTCTGAATAGCTGCTTAGAATATCCATCATGAAAACTTAAAAAATATATTGAGAAAAAACCCTAAAACCATGTAGAATTCATTTTGTACTTTTTGTTTATCCATTAACTTTGTGGTCCATTCTTACTAATCATGATATTATTAGTTGCAAAGTGAATGAAAATAACTGCCCACAATATTCCACATGATTTATGCAAGGTTGAGAAAGGATATATGAAAACTGAGAACACCCCAACCCCAAACACATTTTGGATACTTTGCATGTCAATACTGAAGTTCACCTTTCACACTCAAAACTGCCCCTGTCCCTTCTGATTTGGAACATGTAAAATTTATGACCTCTAACCTCTAATACATTAGCGGTCTAATGAACTAAGTAAACCCTTCTAAAGTCAATACAAGTATAACTCTCCTATTTCATGGAAGTATAAATGTGACCTAGAATAGCACTGGTCTGTAGAGCTGCAATGTAAATTCTGTGATGCAAATGTTCTGCAGCTACACTGTCCAATAGGGTAGTCACTAGGCACATGGAGCTAGCAAGCTTTTCAAATCTGGCTGTATGACTAAGGGACTGAATTTTTAATTGTATTTAATTTTAGTTAATTTAAAATTAAATAGTCACACATACTGGCTCAGCATAGGTCTAGTAGACCCTTCAAACATTCCGGTAAGAATGAGAACTGGAAAGTCCATGATGGGCAATCCAGGAATCTTAAATTCTCAGCATTATGTTTCTAAAAATCTATCATTCCTTAGGGATGAATTTTTCCAGAAGTTTCGCATTTTCAAGAAATAAAACCCAAACCAACCAAATTCTTTAGGCTGCTTTTCTGTATGAATCATCTTTTTGCAAAGAGGTGTAAGACTGATTTTATTGCCAACTCTGCCCCCTCTTTTACAGACAGAATTCAGTGATTAGATTCTACATTTATTTAGGTTATTCTCCTAAAAAACCTGGTTTCCATACTGGAAATAAATGACAGGACTTTTCCACTAGATTATCCCAGACAGCACAAATGTTCTTCCAAAAGTGGAGACTGGAACCCCAGCCCCCTCACATTGCCTGCTGCATCTGTTTATGCTTACAGAAGTGACATCCACTTTGCAGACAGAGAATGCCAATTTCTTGGGAAAGGACCCAGAATTTGGTGACGTTTGAAGACAAAAAAAAAAAAACAAAACACCTTACTGTTTAAAATAAAAAAACTATATAGAATTGAGTAGCTACAAAATCCTTTTAAAATTGAAAGATTTTGCTCCCAGGGTGTATAGATTCTGTGTACAGATGTGCCTGGGTTTGTATTCAGCCATAATCATTTACTAGCTAATAAAGTTGTGGGTAAGTTACAACACCTAAACCTGGGTTTTCCTATCTGTGAAATTGGGATAATAGTTCTGTTGGGAAAACTTGTGAAAGACTTTGAAATGAGCAAAAGATTACCTACTGCTTGTCCTTTCAGTGGAATGCTGGATGTCATTTCCAGGACTCCACAGTGTTGTGATTCTGAGGTAGTCTGCAACTTTCACTGACTTTCACTAGTCTATTTTACTACTTAGTAAGCTGTAGGAATTTATGGTAATGTAAGTGATTCTTATCTATAGAAATGCAAATTTATTTTGTTCCTTAGGAAAACAATTGGTTACCGCCCTGTAGAACGGATAATTCTAAACATTATATTTCAGTGCCTTCAAGAATATTAAGCAGTTTTGTCTCTTTCCTGATTGCCTATGTGTCTGTTCTTCACCTCATTTGAATGGGTTGCAATATTTTGCTGATTCCCGCCCTAATTAGTCAAGTAAAATTTTTGACCCATGTTCATTTTATATTTCTACGAGAGTTATGTTGTTACCTTTTAAAAAAATTATTCTTTAAGAGTTTCTGTCCCATTGACTTTTGGGGAGGATTGTCTTAAAGGTCCGTATTGACACTCAGGACAAGTTTTATATTTTGCAATAAGGCTGTAACACTTCCGGCATTTTTGGGTGGGAGAGCGAGTACTGAGCATTTATAAAAGGGCAGGGGGCTGAAAAACCCTTCCCAGTCAGTAAAGTCAGAAGGCTTCCTCCTCCCTTTCCTTTTGGCAATGGGACCTTAAGGTCAAGGTGAGTAGCAGACCAGGCCCACTGTGCTTAGGCTACACCAGACTTGGGCCTAAGTCTTAGCTTTTCCGGCCACAAGAGTGTCCCGGGTTTCGTATGCCCTGGGGTCACGGAGTTAACTGCAAACTACTTGGGGCCCCGGCAGCGGGCAGCCCGTGAACCCATTTCCCGAACCAGCACCCACCTGAACTGGAAGGTCGCCTTGCCCCAGGCCGGAGAGGCCCCTCGCCCACGGCCGGGGGGTGGGGCGGCCTCGCCTCGGGCCGGTGCTTTTCGCCCTTCCTTGGCCGCCAGAGGCTCCCTCTCTCTCCCTCTCCTGGGATTTTGCTGCCGGGCTCCCTCTCTCTGCGGCCCTAGAGTTAATCCCATCAGCCGAGGTGAGGCACCTGTTACCCCTGGCCTTCCTCACCCCCGCGGCCTCTCCTCCATGACACCCCGGCCTCCCCGGCCGGCCAAAGGGCCCGGCGCGGGGACCGCACGTGGGCCACCCTCGTCCCCGGCCGGCACCCCTCGCCCCAGGCCGGCCCGAGTGTGAGCGCCCGTCCGTGCCCGGGCCGCCGCCCGCCCGCCCGCAATGGCGTTGGGGAGCGCAGCGCGCCTCCCGGGGCAGCCCGGCGCGGACTGGGCGCTCGTGGGGGCCGGAGCGCGAGTGGAAGCGGCCGTGGCGGCCGCCTTCCGCGCTGCGCCGTGAGGAGCGGGCGGGGGGGCCGCCAGCGGGCCGGCGCCTACCCGAGCCGCCGCGGCCACCGTGGGGCGGGCGGGGGGCTCCTGTGAGGAGGGGGTGGGAGCCGCGGCGGCCCGACCCTCCCGCCCGCGGCGCTCGCGCTCGGGTAAGGGGGAGGCTGTGCGCCGCGCGAGGAGTTGGGAGGGTGGAGATGAGGAGAAAAATCGGCTTGTACAAAGGCTGAGTTGCAGGCTGGGGGTGGGGGTGGGCTGTGGTGGAGGAGCGATAGGTTGAAGATCGCAGGCATTATCAGTGGAATCTATTGTTTCCTGGCACACTGGGAGGAAAAACAAAGGGATTTATTATCACTACCCTGTAATTTTTTTTCCTCTCTCTCTTTTTTTTTTTTTTAAATGTGGCCAGGGAGCTCGTCTCTCCCAGTGCCACACTAGGATCCGCCTGGCAGCCGCCGGGAGCCGCAGCCAATGTGTTAGGACTTCAGGTGCTTCTTGGCACAAAGCTAGACTGCGACCTCCTACCGTAGCGTTTGGCGTCACCTGCTCTCCCGGCCCTGCCCCGGGGCCGAGGGATTGCGTCCCGAACCAGGCTGGGGAATCGGCTGCCTCTCAAGTTGGTGTTATTTATGTTTGTCTTTTGTGAGGGCAGGATTTGAATCCCCTGGCGGCCCCATCGCCCCCGCCCCCGCCCTCTCGGGCTCCAATGGGCGGGGGAGGGAATGGGGTGTGTGTGCAGGGGAGAGGGGAGGGTGTTTATGGCTTTAAAACAATGTCAGGGGAAAAGGAGATTGTCTGTGCTTTACAAAAAAAGAAAAGAAAAGAAAAGAAAAAAAAAACAGGCACCACACTCTGAAGCCTTTCTTGTTTGTCTGCATGGGCCATGCATGCGTGCTGGGCCAGGAGCCCAGTTTGGAGACGGTTTAAGTTAAAGTGTGTGCTTCCTCAGTTGGTTGTGCGTGAGGGTGATGTGGCTCTGTCTAATATCAAAACAAAACAGAAACAAAATGAAAAATCTTTAATACTGCATTGTCTGCTCCTTAGCATATCTTAAAGTATTTGATTACTGGCATATTGATACAAAATCCAGCTGTGGAGTAAAGGAGACAAGCAAACATGCATTGCGTTAGGTTTAGAACTTGTAGTAAGTTAGAGTCAATAAAGAATAAACAAATCAGGGCTGTGAAAAAAGGTGTCACCGTATGTGTGCTTCCTGATCCTCACATTTCTTATGCATTTATTCCCGTGATAGTCTACATCCCACTCCATCATTAATAATGTCCACTGTCAGGAAACTTCCAAATATTTGAGATAACTGAACTTAGAGTGAAACTTACAGCCATTCAAGAACTTTTTTCTCCTTGTTTTGGTCTAAAGTTGCACTAGTGTTGCTTTGGAGGTGCTGTAGAGGAGAATATTGTGCTAGAAAAAGAGAAATAAACTTCTGTAGACATGTTTTGGAGTCTGTAAACATAGATTCCAAACTTTTGATTGTACTTAGAATAAATTTTACCTGATTGTGTAGAATCCCAAATTAAGTTGATTTTCTCGACAGTTTGATGATTTCTTAAAGATCAATGAACTGCTGGTTTCTTTTAAGGGCACTTACAAAAGCAACAAAAATTTGGGCTAGAGTATTGCTTTCATATGCACTTATGTGTAACTTGTATTTGTGAATCAGTGTGTGTGTGTGTGTGTGTGTGTGTGTGTGTGATTTTGGTAGGGATTCTCAAATTGTGTTTGAAACTTTTCTGTTACCTAAGGCCAATCAGAATAACTTTTAACTACTTGACTTTTAACTTCCCATTTCAATAAATAATTTATTGTTGATATGTGGCTAAGCCACTTGGAAAATAAAGTATATATTAATTAACTAAACAAATTCAAATAAGTAAATGAATTCAGAAATTCATTCTTTTCTATTACAGATGAACCTCTAGTCTTGCTTTGAAAAAGGCATTTTGTGTAACTCTTGACTCTGAATAATTTCCTAATACACCTGTTGGGACAATCACTGACAGAGTATACCATTTGAGAGGTACTGTTCTTGACCAAATACTGGTGACTAGAGAAGAGAGGTATTTTTGTTTTTTGATTTTTTTTTCTCTGATCATTATGAACATTGGCTTTTCACTTCTGGAGTAAAAATGTTGAAAGCCGAGTCTTCAGGTGAACGAACCACTCTCAGAAGTGCCTCTCCTCACAGGAATGCATATAGAACTGAGTTCCAGGCACTGAAAAGTACCTTTGACAAGCCCAAGTCAGATGGGGAACAAAAAACAAAAGAAGGTGAAAGCTCCCAGCAGAGCAGGGGGAGGAAATATGGCTCTAATGTCAACCGAATTAAAAATCTATTTATGCAGATGGGTATGGAACCTAGTGAGAATACTGCGGCCATTGCCAAAACAAGGGGGAAAGGTGGACATTCCTCTCCTCAGAGGAGAATGAAGCCCAAAGAATTTCTAGAGAAAACAGATGGCTCTGTTGTTAAGTTGGAGTCCTCTGTTTCTGAACGAATTAGTAGATTTGACACAATGTACGATGGCCCTTCATATTCTAAGTTCACTGAGACTCGGAAGATGTTTGAGAGAAGTGTGCATGAGTCAGGACAAAACCGTTATTCCCCAAAAAAGGAAAAAGGTGGGGGGAGTGATCCTCAGGATGAGTGGGTTGGTTCCAAGTCCAATAGAGGCAGCACTGATTCCTTGGACAGCCTCAGCTCCCGGACTGAGGCTGTCTCCCCAACTGTGAGTCAACTGAGTGCAGTATTTGAGAACACTGATTCCCCCAGTGCCATCATTTCTGAGAAAGCTGAGAACAGTGAATACTCAGTGACTGGGCATTATCCCTTGAATTTACCATCTGTTACTGTTACAAATCTTGATACCTTTGGCCACCTTAAGGATTCTGATTCTTGGGCTCCTTCAAACAAACAAGGTGTTGATACAGAGGATGCTCAGAAGAGTCACACCACCCCAGTACCGGAAGTGGCTTCTGAAAGTAGCTCTCTAGCTCAGATACCTAGTGAAGAGAACCAGCAGAGCAAGGAAGCCGAAGGCTCCACATCTAACCAGGAGACTCCTGGCAGAAGTGACATTACCGAAGAACCTTGTGCTGAAAATAAGACAATGCCAAGATCAAGAAAACACTCATCACGACACAAACCTTTAGAAGGTGCTGAAGCTAATTCGGCAGCAAAGCAACAGAAGAAAAAATTTGCAGGTGATGATTTCCCCTCTCCTGGTACTTCTGCATCCAGTGGTGGAAAAGAAACACCTGAAGATTCAAATAATTTCGAGGGCCCCCGTATGTACATGGAGAGAGACTATAATGTGTATAGGGTGAAAGCCAGGTTTAAGTCTGACTGGGGAGGGACAGGCACCCAGCAGGAAGAGGAGGAAGATAGTGATGAGAATTCTTGCTATCAGCCTGTTGTGGAATGCTCGGAAATGAGTGGGTTGTCAGAAGAAGAAGACATCCCAGTAAATAGAAAAATTCAGTTTAGTAGAGCTCCTATTAAGGTAAGTATGTTTTCTTAGTTTGTTTTCTGAGTGTGTGTTTAGTATGGGTGCCTAACTGTATGCAGAATAGATTTGACAACTACTGGAAGTTTATGTAAGGAATTCAAGATTGTTGATGCACACCTGTTGTCAGGTGATTTTTAAAAGTTTGGAGTTTGAGAGATATCAAATGCTTTATAATGGCATAAACCAGTAATATTAAAGTCGAACAAGTTTGGGGATTGTGAGATACATTCTAATGTATTGGAGAATGAATAATGTGAAAAATCAGGAGTGTCAGTTTGAAATGTAGTTAACTAGTTTTCCCTAAAATTCCCTATGAATAATAGTATTTTTTGCATCTACATTGTAAGATATGAAGTATAATGTACAATGAGAGAATTATGGTAACCTTGAAATAATACTCTTACGTGCTTAAAAAATCTGAGTTATTCTGTAAGTGGATTGTGAGGAATGTTGGGACTTTTTCTCAGGTACTGCTACGTGGTGGTAAAAACTTGATTTTTGGAAATATAAGCTGACTGAAATAATTTGAAAAGCTTTGACTATAAACAGGTTTGAGTTCAAAATTATGTAGCTTTAAAATGAAATTTTGCGAAAGGAGGTAAAATTGATTTGCCATTCATGAATGTATTTTTACCTCTTAAAAATTGGATAAATGCCGGTTGAATTCAGATGCTCTATTCTAATGATTTCACTTAGTTAACATTTGGTATAGAAGAATAGCACAAAGTACATCTGCAGTGAGTGGTGGAACATTATTAGCTTATTAGCTGGTAATGGCAATAGGGGCAGGAGGTGGTTGGTTGAGTATCAGAATCTCCTGGAGTGCTTTTTTAAAGCCCACCAGCTCAGTCCTAAGATTCTGTCATGCTGTCCTTGGGGAATCTGGAGGTTACGGTGGCAGAATGTGTAGTTTGAAATCACCTTTAGGGCTTCTAACTTAAATAGTGTGTATGTAAGATAGATTTGGAATTTGATACCATATTTTTGTAAATTTTCCCCTCAAAATCTAAATTCACTGTCTGTTGTTATTTCCAGCTTATGAACTTCCAAGTAAGGCTACAAGATACATAATTTACTTAGAAAATTTAAAGAGAAATCTGACATGCTTTAGTTATGAAATACTATTTTGCAATTAAGCTATAATCTGTGAAAGTATTTACAGGTGTTAGCTGGCAAAACTTCATTATATTAGTGCGAGGCAGAAGTTCTGGATCAGAATGGGGCTTGGCAAGTTAAATTGTGCTTAAAATCAATTAGAGATATGAATCTAGTTGGAAAGTGAGCTAAGTTTCTTTGCAGTGTTTTACTACCTTGCTCTGTTATTCTCTTTCTCCTTCCCCTGTCTTCCTTCCCTACTCCCAAACCCTAGCTCTAGCCACTGTCTTAAAAGGTGCCTTTCCCTGAGGCATATTCAGTGAGCTCCTAAATTTCACTATTCATGTCCCCTTTGAATATCATCTTTCTGCCCTTTAGGAAGAAAGCAATAAGATAGCATCATTTCACATTGAGCAAGGCAGGAATAACTGAAATGGACTCTTAAAGGAGTTTGTTAAACCCAGAGACTGACTTTTTAATAGGAGGTTAACAGCTTCTGAAAATTTATCAAGTTGAATACTGCCCACTAAACCAAATTGGATACCAGTCTTGTATTTGGGTCCTGTGCTGCGTAAAACATAACTGCGAAGTAGTAGGGTTAATAGATTTTAAAGGACATATCATTGAATTATGTCTGTTTATATGTGAACAAACCGGCTTTTTGGGTGTGATGTTTTGAAATTCAAGTGATTTTTGCTACTGTTGTTTATAACAATAAACATTTTGGCTCTTAATTGTCATATAATAGATTGAATTTCCTATAGCAAAGAATGAAAATAAATTACCTACATTAAGTTTAACACATTTCATCAAGAATTTAGATCAAGCATAAGATTTGTGAAACGAAGATAATGTATTGCTTTTTATTGGGCAGTTAACAGGTCTAGTTGGAGTGGATTAAGTTTGGAAACAGAAGATTCATTTTTAGCCCTTTGTAATGAATAAGAACAATTACTCTTTCTCGATGCTTCCATTGTTTAACATGCAAGTGGATTCACTTGGAAAATTTGAGAGCTGCTTTCTGCTGGTGGGGGTGGTGGTGGTGTTTAGGTTATTCTTCAATTAAGATTTTATGCCTCAGAGGGTGGTAATACCTAATTAAATTCAATAAGTATTTATTGAAGGCTTATCATGTGTGTTCTCTCATGCTGTTAGCTGTAGAAAACACAAAAATCTATAAGATTACCCCTTTCCTCTGAGCTTGTAGAGTCAATTCTTAAACATATTGTATTTAAAACTCATAAACACAGTGTAAACAATTGTGCCAAAATGTCTAATGTCCTATGAATCCTTTAATGGTACTTGGCTGTACTAAAGGCATAGTGTGACAGGGATTCGACAGGTTATTTGGAAAGGAATACACACAACCATTCCCTGTGTTTTTTTATTGTTTTCATGAAGCTTTATTTATGGAATGGGAAGTTATGATACCCAACCTAATGTTTTTCCTTTGAAATTTAAACATACTTCCTCTTTCAGAAGCTATAGGGAACATATTCCTTACAAAAATGATTTTTAGAACTTTTACATTCTTTTCCTGATATTCTCACTTTATTCTCTACTAGGTTACATATTCCCAGCACCTTTAGTATTTTGTTATAGATCTTGTTTATGATCTTTTGCATATGTGATGCCATCCTCAGTATCTAATTCAGTTCTTCTTATGGATGTTTTAATAGATATTTCCCTAAACTGTCTTAAATATGGACCTAGAAAAACTTCGAAATAGTGGTTGATCTTTCCTATGTAGAATATTCCTTGTGCTTGTTAGTGACTTTAAAAAATTGTTGGATAGTTCATAGGCAGTATAACTCTCCTATGTTTCTTGGATCAGTTGTTTATAGTGGATAGGTTGATATGTTTCATAGAGTCATGGAATATTAGAATGGGATTAATAATAGAAAATATAAAATTCCAACTACTTTGAGATACAGAATGGGAGAATATTATGAACCATGCTAATTTGAGAGGTGGAATTATGTCTTTATTCTCTGGAATTTCTCAAAATTAAGGGGTTAAATTAAATTTTTCTCAGATAAATCAATGATAGAGAGTGTGACATTGGTCATTTGTTCTATTAAGAACATTTGCTGAGTCCCTAATAAGTGTCAGGAAAAAAAGGGAATATAACAAATACATAAAATAACTGGAGCTGACCATGTCAGGAACTCTGGTAGGTGGGAAGTGTACAGCCTATTAAGGGACCTTCTCAGGCTGTTTTGCTCAACTCTGTTCTTCGATGACCTTTCTAAGGTCACTGCAGTCTTATTAGGGAAGTCATAACCCTTTCTCTGTTTCTGGTAGCCTTATGTCCTTTGGGTTGCTATTATTGAAACATAGGATATCTAAAAAAAGAGATTTTCCTAGCTTCCAGCAAGGAGATTGTAGAGTTAATGTTGAGGTGCATTGTGCTATAGTTTGTTTTCTCAGACTGTATGGAGCTTTACAGGATTAGAGTTCAAAGAATCAGCAAGGGCAGCAATACTTCTTTAAACCTTACATGATAGTTGTTGACAGTGTATCTCCTTGTATTCTTTCCCCCTTTTCAGGCTCCCAGTTATTGTGGGGGGGGGCACATGAAGCCTTTTGTTCAGGATAGTGTTGTGAGGACAGTTCTTCTTAGATCTGACTTTTTGTCTTTGAGGAGGCTTCTCTTTCTGTTTAACAGTTTTGTCAGTGTATCTTAAGCTTTAATATGCATATAAACCACTTGGGACTTTGTTAATGTGCAGATTCAAATTCAGGAGGTATTCTGTGGGAAATTACCCTGATGCAGTGGTTAGCCTACAAGCTCACTGCCAGGCACGCCGTCTCAGGTTGTGGGATAGAAGTGCTCAGTGACCAAATTAAAATGCTTGAACCACAGGATTTATTCAGTCCATTTAAAACACAAACCCAGAAGCAAGAGAAAAGCTATGGAGTAAGTTAACGCACCTAACGTAAGGTGCAAACAAGGCTGGAAGGAGCATACTACCTGCATCCTGTCTCTATCTTTCATATGTGCCTTCCCCATAGATTATGGCATTTTGAGGACCAGAGATGATGTAATGTTTGAGCCAAGACTCCATAGACTAATGATGTCCTGGTCAAAGATGGCCACTTGCTCTGTTGAAAAGATGTGACGCACTAGTAAATCCGATGTCCTGGTCAAAGATGGCCACTTGCTCTGTTGAAAAGATGTGACGCACTAGTAAATCCGGGTATAACAGTAGCTTTGCAGTGTGCCTGCTGTTGAGCATAGGACCATGCTAGGTGTCCTCAGTGAGTAACTGACATGGAGGGAACACAGTTGTCAGTCCAGAGATGGCATAATGATGGCTTGGTCTTTTCATCCCTTTCTTTATAAATAAATTTCATTTTTTTTTTTTTTTTTTTTTTTATGTTTGAGACAGGGTCTTGCTAAGCTCCCCAGCTGGTCTTGAACTCCTGGCCTCAAGTATTCCCCCTACCTCGGCTTCCAAAGTGCTGGGATTACAGGCATCAACCACTGTGCCCAGCAATCAACCTCATTTGTTCCATCATAATTTCTATTTATTCTATTGTTGTCATATTTTACAGGCTACTAACTTAGTTTTTAACACATCTTTTGAATTCTGCCTTCTTTTTATCAGCTTGCATTGTCATTATCAGTGCTTAACACAGCTTGTGAGTGCTGCCTCTAACTCATAAGCTATTATTTACTGTCTATGATTATCACTTATTAGGAGTTTCTCCATCCCATTTGTTTTCTTTACCTCTCTCACAGAAATTAATATTCTCAAATAATACAGCAAACTCACATAACAGTTGATCTGATGTGGGACCTGAGATTTTGCATTTTTAACAAGTTGTGCTGATGCTGCTGACTAACAGATTACTCTTTAGAATATGATTGAAGTACAATCTTGTGGCTTCTGAAA